TACCGATACGATACTTGGGAACGTGGCTCGCAGAGGGGCTCTTCCTTTGGACAGTGATACTACGAGACGAACGACCCGAGAGGACTCATGATCTAGAAGGTGTCGGACATCTGATAGCGGATAGAGCACACGATTTAGAGATAGGACTAACGCTCGCAGGGGCGAGCAGGAGTTGGTGGAGAAGTGAGTCGTTGGCCAGAGTGATCATTAATCAGCAACTGGCGAGACTCTCTGGAGGGAGGACGAGTTGGAGCTGGTTGGTGTACGGTCCACCACATCCGACCCTCTACCCGAGAAAGGATTGGCGATTCGGACTTCCTACCTTCGTGATAGGCCAGACCTATGGGAGCGTGGATCGTTTGAGTAGAGCAGTGGACCACACACTTTACGCGCTCTGGGAGGGCTTAGCGCCCCGCTTCAAGGAAGTATACTACGCCATTTGTGTGAGGTGGGGGCCGCCCAGTAGAGAGACGCTTGACGACATCATAGACGTTACTAGCTGGGTGGACCGTCTAAGGCCAATCGATCTGATTAGGTACTGCAGGAGACGGGCAGAGATCGATTACGCGGGGCTAGAAAATGTGAGATTTCTCTTCGAGGCCGCAGCTTAGGGAATGCCCAGAAGGACGACCACGGTGATGCGTGTAGAAGAGCAACTGGTAAGCGCAGGATACACTGTGACAGTACTTCTCCGAGCGTACGTAGACGAGGACTTGACAGCGAGTGAGTGCAGACAACGAGCTAGGGATTTGATCGACGAGCGTAGAGCTGATGTACTGGCACGGGTGACCTTCCAGACCTCGATTTCCTATGATGTGATGATATGGTCTCATGGATATATGCGCGCGGAGCACTACCACGATGAGACGGTAGCGGAGGCTAGAGCGAGGGTGAGAGGGTGAGCTGGAGAAAGATGTGGACTGAGTATGGAAGAGGAGAGTGAGGCAGTCGGAAGAGTCAGAAAACGTGTTAAAGAACCACTCTTGAACCAGGTAAAGAAGTTGGAGAACAAGTTAAGGGAGATCTGGTCGTGCCAGGACGAGGGCAAGTTGCGAAGGGCTGAACTCGTGACAAGAGAGTTAGACAATCTGTTTAGGGAAGAAAGAGAGATTATCCAGGCGTGGAGATCAGACTTTCTGGAGAGGATAAAGGCTAGAAGGGTATCCCGCGAAGAAACTAGTGAGCGATCTGCAGAGAGCGAGACAACGGAAGACAAAGTAACGCAGGGAAGTAGCGACAGGACATGAGCGGGACTGCACTACACACGACGGATCGGTACTCATTACATGTGGTAGGGAGACTGGACGGACCATTAGTGTTAGTGATCATAGAACTCCAGCTCCATACCAGACTGTGCATAGTTGAGGAGGCAGAGTGTGTCCGCCGCGCGCTGCGAGAGGCTAGGGGAACAAGACTTTGGATTGGAATAGAAGGAGGACGGAGGATAAAATACGTACTCCAAGTGACACCTTTCGAAGGGCGGTATAGGATAAGGGCATGGTACGAGACGACCAGAGAGGCTGAGAGGTTGAAGATAACCGGAGCTAGGAAAGCTGGAGAGTTAAGGAGAGTTGTAATAGATGGTGCAATACTCAGGGTGTTAGCCGCTCACAACCGGTACTGGAAGGAAACGATAAAGACTTTAGAGGTGATAGACGATGGAGGAGATAATGAGGACTTTGAGACATTTTATGACATATTGGAGCGGTCGGCGATGAGGTTACAAGTGGTTATAGCACTAAGTTACCTCAGCTGTTAGACAGATGACCTCGTAGCCGTTGAGGAGATAAGGTAGTGGAAATAGAAATTGGAAGCTCTTGGAAGGATACTGGAAGCTAGAAAGGTCGATGGGCGACATTGGACGGCAGTAGGAGGGCCTTTAGCGGGCTAACCGAGTCAGACAGGGCTAGGAGAACTAGCAAGGAGGATGGAGAGAGACGCTCAGAGACTCTTGAGGGGTGTCGCGGGTGAATTGCAGATCTGGAGAGGCACGGCCTTGTTGGCCGATCCCGAAGGAGAGGTTTACTTAGACACATGGATTCTTGGGATAGAGGGAGAACACGAGATCTGCGGCCGGTACGGGTTACTGGAGGTGGTAATCAAGGCAATCGAGAGCTAAGTTTGGAGGCGGACGCGAGCCGTGACAAGGAAACAGGTCCGGGCTGCCGCAACTGTCACAGGTCCGGGCTGCAGCGACTGTCATAGGGTCGGGTTGTAAAAGTTGGCAAGAAAACCTAACTGCGTCTTCAGGCGGTCCAATGGAACCCGACACGATGGGGCCACAACCGACCATGGGCGAACCAGGAGAGGAGTATAGGACATCGCCCGATCGAGCTCTGAGAGAATTGAAGGAACGAATTAGGCAAGAAGAACCGCTGAGATGGGCTGACCAAACCAATGACGGAGGGCCCGACGTAAGAGGCGAACCAGTTGCGACAGAGTTGCAGGAGGCTCTAAGGACGGGTACCTCGAGCGGACGACGAGAAACAACGAGACGACGCTCCCCCGAGTACGAGCGGAGGGACACCATAGCGGATAGGCACAGAGACGACTGGAGAGAGAGTTTGAGGGATTCCTATTGGAGGGACAGAGATAGAGACAGGGCGCTGCCCAGGCGAGTCTTCGACCCCCAGACAGGGGAGTCACATCC